CGTTCGCAAGGAGTAAGTCTGCTGGCCACAGACCAAGGAGCCCGCCAGTGAGACTGGTGTAAATGTCAATGGGGTCCCCATGAGGGACTTAGTGGGTACCCTGCGCGCAGTTGAAATCTTCATCCCCCAAAGCTGGGAAAATCCCCCGGAAGAAAGAAAAATAATAAAGCCACGTAAAAGTGCGGAAAGTCGATTTCGAAATTTTAACGGAACATTTTGAGTTCTGATACTGAAAAAGTTATTTTTTTTACTGTTCCACCTTACTACGTACTTACTTAGTAAAGACAAAGTATACATGCGGCACATACCAGCGATTTTTCGACAGAAAAACTCGAATTGTGGCATCCTAGAAACGAAAAAGTGGGTAAATCTTGAACCTATAAGTAAAAAATTAGTTTATTATGTCGAATAATCATAATTCATGTTTTGTGGGTTCTTGATTCCGTAAAATGTGTATACGGCCAAATTAATAGATAACAAAAAATTCGAAAATCACAAAAGTTCACATTTTTTCGGTGTCTTACTAGAAGTATTACAAAAACGAAGATAGAAGTTAATACTGATTGAAGAGCACAGCAAACTAACATATGTATAAATTATGTGCCATTTTGAAACACAACTAGTTCTTTATTGTTTACACGTGTTTGTTGTTGAGAAAACAAAAGCATCTGTTTTTACTTCTTGTACTTAAAATATTTCTATTCTTAGTCAAGATTTAGAAAACCTTGGAACTCGTCTTTCTTCTTAACTCGCCTGAGCTTTCCTGAAAGGCGTGCCCTCTAAGGGCCAATTTTATCCTTGATACAATTACCACTACGAAATGATCATTTTGACATAAACAAACATTCGATTACCACAATAATGACGTGAATTCATTAAGGATGTTTTCAATTTATTGCGAATAATTGCTTTTTCTAATCGAGATTAAAATAAAATTGATATTGGTTAAAAGACGAGAGACATCGAAAAGCGACTGGGCTCGTTTGTGAGAAAACACAAATTATACGCATCGCACTTAACTGATCGTAAACTTCCAGTTAAAGAACGAAGCATCGCGTGGACCAACAGAACGTACGACTTAAGCGGTGTTGCCACATCGATTATGCCTCTTTAATTGCATAAAATCACACGTTTGAATTCACACACGTTTGGATTAACATCCTAGTCATATCTTTATTTATCAATACACATCCAAAAAGTACTGAAGTAACCTAAACATTACTATATAACATTTCGACAAATCTAATAAACAGTTTAACCAAATCTTGTATTCTTTTTGACTACTAAGTGTTACGTTTTATTGCTTACGAAAAGTATCAAGAACATCTAAACAGTTGCTTCTAAATTCAGGATGTGCGTGGGAGAACCTATTGCCGAATTAACAGGTGTGAATGCGCCGTATGACGTCACTCGCGAAATAAATGAGGCTTGGTTCGGTAGCACCCAATCTCTCGAGGAGCGTTGTTTGCACCCGTGATGCTTAGGTTGGCGTTAAAAAGCATGGAAACATTTGCTTCCGTCATTGAGCAACGCTTTTAATTAACGTAATATAATAATAGGTTGTGGCTCTTTTTTCTATTCCTCCGCCCCTATTCCCCTCTCGATTTGACAATGAATTCTCAACACATGTAAAATTGGAATTTATGAATTTTTGGATATTTTCTTTTGAAGAAAAATTATTTCTCCTATCATATACGATCGTGATTTTGAGCTATTCAAAAGCGAATGATTATGATGATGATTGTATGCCATACTCTAATTTTCAAGCACCGTCAGGAAACTTTGCACTTCACATCCTAACGCAAGCATTTCTGCATTTTTCGTGATATTTTTAATTGAATTTAAAGTTATTATAATCAACTTAAGTTAGACAACATTACGATAATTATCTAACAATATGTGACTCATAAATTATATTTAAAACAACCGAGATATACATATTCTCTGCAATTTATCCAAACTTCATTCCAATCAAGAAGAGCAAGCAATGCGAAAAATTCTTCCTCCACAAGAGATTTCTGTTTCTGAGCTACGACTTTCAATCTCTTAGGAAATTTCCTCTAGTCATTAAACTCCATAGATCACGCTAATTCATTTGAGAAATGTAATTGAAGTAGAGATTCGCTAATAGTATATTTCAGCAATCGTTTCGACTTCCTTCCTCTTTAGAATATTGACGTCTTATTGTGACTTTGAGTGACAATTTTACTCTGAAGGAAATTGGATGGCGGAAGCAACCCCTGCCAGCAACCTCCGGCATTGTCCCAGCATTCTCGCACAAATTACTTCCCCCTCTCCAGCGCAGAGCTTAGATCGATTTCTACCTGTTCCTTTACTCAAACTGAAAATAACAATTATACATTTAGTAATCAGGTAACCTGCGCATCTGTGCTTTTGTCCATAACTCACTAGATCTCTTAGTTTACCACTCGAGGCAAGTAAGGTGTCATTCGACACGTCTCGGCCTACCAACAATTTGTTTCGGAACCTTCCGGACATTCAAAATTCTTGAAAAACTTAATTTTTGGGTGTTTTAAGCACCTAAAACGCATTTTCACTTTCCCGAATGCGGGGTAATATAAGTAGTAAGAGAAAGTTACGTAATGCGGCGGAACATCGATTTCGAAATTTCAACGGAAGTACCCGTTTTGAAGTCTCATCACACCCAATAAGGGGTTTTCTTCAAAGGGTTTGTCCGTCTGTGAACAGTAGCGCCTAAACTATTCGCAGTTGTTGTTTTTCCCCAAAATGAATATTCTCTGATCGATCAGTCTCGAAGTTCTGCGAATTTCAAAAACAATATTTACATTTTAGGGGTACTATATAGCCCCTGAGAAATTTTCAAAATGTTCTCAAACACTTCCTTCGTCGTATAATAAGATAAGGTGGATTCCTCAGTTTGTTTCACCATTTTAAAAGTGAAAATAGCTGATTTCTTTAACGTTTAACGGAGTAATCATCGTTTGCATCTGTGCAACTGCTGTATTCCCTTTTTCATAATCTGACAACTGTTTCTCGATCTGATCGATTAAAATCTGAGCGGAAATTTCCACACCACAGCGGCACTCTTGAAGATTTTTGTCGATGACATCTCATAACTGGCATACAACATTCTCACTTAGGTTATGTACAGATGTCACAGGAAAAGGCTACAAACTTCAAGGGCAGGGAAGAGAGCGCCCGGTTCACAGTCTGGCGTAAGTAGTGTTAGTTTGCCAGTCGAATTTTGTAAAAAAGTGATAACATGGCATTGTTGAGTTCTGTGAGTGATTTCTTGACACTCATTGATACCAAATCAAACAAACATTGGTTTAGTTCTGCTGCATCCGTTTTGCTCCCTATTATTCATGTCACTTCTGCATATATTTACATGATATCTTATTTACGTAGCTAAATACAAGAAAAGTTTAGTTCACAATTTGCATTCAAGGAAATACATTTACATGTGTATTTTTTATATCACAATTTAGTCCATTGCAAGTTAAAATCTTGATGAAAGAAACAACGTGGCCCATTTCAACCTCTGTATTTTTTCCTGCCTGTTTTCATCCGTTTAATGACATAATTCACATGCATGCATGTTCTCGTCTGCTTTTTTAAACATATGTATCAAATCTTATAATAGTTACGATAATGAAACCTTGTAAAGCAAGGCGAAAATGACCCTTAACTTCCAACTTGACGCACAGAAGTGACGGTTCATGAAATCCCATCTTTCCAGCCCAAATGGCTGCAGCGCGGTGCTGTGTTGGGCGTTGCTCAGGGGTTTTAGTCCTCCTGTTGTGAAGCTGCATCGCCGCGTGCGTGTTTGCAGAGCGGGTCGTGCGAGAGCCTGGCGGCGTCGGGCGGCGCGGCGTCGGTTGGTCAGCGTGCCGGCGGCTGCTGTGACTCGCTGTCGTCGTGCGGGTCGGCGAGCGAGCTCTGCTGGCGCGCCGCCCGAGGCGCGCGCGGCAGGTCCGCCCGCTTCCGCCACCTGGAGCGCTTCGGCCTCGACACGCTCGGCCTCTTCCGCGTCAGCACCTCCAAGAAGCGCGTGCGGCAGGTGAGTGGCACTCGTTGGCAGCTGCGAAGCTCATTACCCCGGAAGGCAAGTGTATATTTGTATCGCGGCGATCTTACCCCCGTTGGATCGCAAGATCCAACACCGACCTACACGTCGGCTTGCGGGGTTGTCCCTAACGAGGTATCTCCCATCAACGGGGCTCTGTCCCGCTGGTGAGCAAGCCGTAGGCTGTCGACTGATCTCTCGGCAGTTCAAGTAAAGGGGATGAAATTACAAGGAAGAGAAAGGAAAGATCATGCTCGATCCTTAACCTGTGTGTTAGTGTACAGCTTCGGTACTCTCCTGGTGTTGATCGGAGAAACCACAGAAAACTACCGATCAGTGTAGCCCGCCGCTAGAATTATTCTTCAAGGAGCAACTGAAGTCGCCTGAGCTATCAAGCTAGAGTCAAAAATCCTGTCACCTTGTGGATTCGAAACCTAGGACATACCGGTCAGAGGTGCTGTTGTGACATTAATTGATGTCCGGTAAAGATGTCCAATTTCAAGTCCAGACGTTGGCGTATTTTCGACACTAAATATAAATTATGTCCAAATCAATTCCTAACTGGAGGGATATTCTAGAGACCAATACCAGGCGAAGGCCGGAGCAGTACCCTAACAAATAGATCGCGGACAGCAAGCTATCTTCCCTTCCTCTTCCTTGTCGTATCCTCACCCCTTCATCACACACACTTTCTCTTACATTCACCACCCCATTACACATGTCGCGAGACTAGAGGTGCGCTTATAGTTTGTTCCGGTTGGGGCGGTGCGTCGCTATCTCACTATGCAACACAGGAGGATCACCGCCACCTCTCAAGATATAACGTACACTACATTTACGGGAATCCTAACCACAGCCGCTGACGCGCCCGAAACACTAAATCGCTCTAAGGTCCGCAAATCCCCATTGTGCGGAGACTTCGACAGTCTAATCTTTTGATTGTGGTTTCTGAATGCAGGGTGACTACTACCGCTTCGCAGAATTAGTCAGTCGTTTGCGCCCAAACGTTTTTTCGGTCTAACACACTTCTCCTGAAAACTATCAACTATCCGAAACGTTATGCGTATGTAGTTACCTGCACTTTCAAAAAATTCATATTAGGACCTTTGGGTAGCGAAAATAAAAATGTACGTAAGTTTAACATATCCATGTCTTTTTATTATATATAATTCTATAATATTTCGCTACAAAATAAGAGACGTAAAATCAAAATACACTAAATGCAAATGGCACGACACAGCTGTGTTGCGGGACAGCTGCCATTGTAGGAGTAGATCGGCGTCGTAAAACTGAACCATTTATCACATAGGAACGTTTACGTAATTCTGTGTGGAAAAGACGTTATCATTAACGAGCATTTATGTATTGCCAAACATGTAGAATATTAAAATTAATAATTTATAACATGTATTTGGAAACAAATGTTTTAAAGACAAAAAATCCCTTGTTATTTTTCTCCTAGAAATGTTGATTTTAGCGCACAAATTAACCAATGCTACAGAAAACATGACACGCATATCAGTTGCAAATGAAATGTCTGTCATGAAGTGTCTCAGTCAGTGTTTCTAGCCAGTTATCGTACGACAGTGTCATCACTGATGTGTAAACGCTTGCCGGTTAACACTGCCGATGCTGTCAGTTATGCGTAAGCGCTCGCCATTGAAGTCCCCTTTACAATGCAAACATAAACATAAGCATGGCGTTAACATAAAAGTTAGGACTACGTCCATAAGCGGACTCATTCACAATGCGTTCACAAAAAAACATAACACGTAAGACGTTAATTTAAAAGCTCGCAAGCTTCAAGCTTCTGTGCTTATGCGTAAGTTAGACACAGGAAATGAACCAATCACTGTACGTTAACTCAGAATCGACAATCGAAAGAGGAGGGAAGTGGATAGGCGCCATATCGGCCATGGACACGTCGATACCTCAAAATCGATTCTCACATCCAACCGACAGTAAACTATAATGTCTCACTGCCCAGGGAAAGTCTTATTTTACTTACGTTTATGTTAGCCATTGTGAATGCTTCAGTCTAGTTAATGTGTCCGTTTGCATGGCGTGCGTTGCAGCTGCGCGAGGAGTTCGACTGCGGCAAGGAGGTGGCGCTGGGCGAGGAGCACTGCCCGCACGACGTGGCCACGCTGCTCAAGGAGTTCTTCCGCGACCTGCCCGACCCGCTGCTCCCGCGCGACCTCTACCACGCCTTCGTGCACACGCAGCGTAAGTCACGCGGCATACTTGCGCGATGCAAACAACGCGAATGAAGGACTTCGCAATTTCAATGGTTTGCGATCTTTCCTTAATAGTAGGTGGGGATTACCAATCGCACGTAAGCATGGTTGTTGACCTGTGTGTTGACCCACTCACCATGCGTCACCCTGTCCATGACATCCCTTCGTTGCTGGCCCTTTCGGGTGGGATGGGGCACTCGGACGGTGTCATTTCTCAGTGCCTGACCTCCCGCCGTTATCAGCGTGAGTCTGGCGTCACCACGTGCCGTTCCGAACTGCCCTTCGGAACCCTACCTCGGCATGGCCACGCCAAGGTTCCTCCAGCCGGCTAATTACTATACTTGGCATGAACAAGGCTCACGGGCCACGCTGCTTCAGATTACTTACCGAGTGCACAGACCCGTGGGTCACCTCCTTGTCAGAGAAGACGAAGCACGGAATGGTAACCGAGAGCTACTCACAGCCGGCTGGAGAAAACGGCACAACCATTTTATTTCATTTTGTAATTTATTTATTTCATGGCAAAAACAATACTATGGACAAGAAGTGCAGTCTTAGTTTTGGTTCCTCGAATGACTCGTAGGAGTTGAAAAGGTAAGAAAGTACTCAATCCTCAAGAGTGAATGTTTGAGTACTGAAAAAAAATCCGTTTTTTGCTATTGACCTATTCGGCAGTTACAATATTCGGCAATTCAACTTAAACTAGTGGTGGTACATAATAACACGGAGTTTCTCGTACTAGTTTGCTAATCTCTTTAGTCTGGACTAGCTCTCCGGTTTTACCTCTCACACTTCCAAGCTCCCACCCACCGGCGCCCAAAAATATTTTCTCCATTTTTCGGTCCCCTACACTCTAAATATTACTTTAAAAATGTTATTGAAGAGTAAAAGCTGTCATGTATTCAAATTTTCAGTCAAAATTTGGAGCTCTTTTTGAAAAATGTGATTTGAAAATGCAGAATTTTGAGCACGTTTTCACAGAAATTTTTCACTTTTCGATAAATTTCATTAGAAGTTATTTAAAGCACATCTACTCACAAATGCAACAATTTATAAAAACGCCCGTAATGTACATATAACGACGAGAAAGATATTTAAAAAACATTTGTGGAAAAACAAAATAATATATCAAAATTGCGTTTATATAATGCTATTTAGTGCATTTAGTAGTATCCGTTCAAAAAGTTAAAAGAAAAAATGTGAAGTCATTTTAGAGGCAATCTATAATTTTGGTCCATACTTCATTCTCGAAAAGTGAACAGCGAAAATCGGACCTGAGCATTGTTATACGTGTATTTCACACTCTTCTTTCAAGAAATTTAAGGAAGAAAAGCTGGATCTCTTTGCAGGAAAAGTTGGAAAATATCCCTGAGTATTCATGAAAATTAACCCCAAAATCCAAAGAATTATTTTCAAAATCACAGAGCTTTGGTCCAGAGCACACTGCGAGAGGAAAATTTGTTTAAGAAAAATTCCTAATAGTTTAAGTGCGAGTGTTGTTCACAGATGGCCAGACATGCAGAGACGGAGGTCTTGAAAAAACACTTTTTCGGTTCTGGGGAACCTCAAAATGTGTCTTTCCTTAGAAAAATCGAAATTGATTTTCCGCAGAACACTTAACTTCCTCTACACAACATGTATTACTTCGCATATACGCACGCATAGGAGAAAGTAAAATTAGCGTTTTTAACCCTTGAAGAACTAGTGCGGGTGTATAAAATGCGCTTTCCGCCAGCCACGTGCAGCGCCATGCGAATGGACGTTGTGTTGCAGGTATCCGCAATCGGCGCCTGCAGTTCGAGGCCCTGCAGCACCTGGTGCAGCTGCTGCCGGCCGCCAACCGCGACACGCTGCACGCGCTCCTCACCTTCCTGGCCGTCGTGGCGGCGCACGCGGGCGAGCACCGCGACGCCTCAGGTGACACCTCCCTTCCCTCTGGCGATAGGGCGCGGCACCTGGCGGTGGACGATTTACTGCACTAGCTAGGTCCGAGCGGAAGGCATCTAACCGTGATCGTAGTAGACTTCGGATAGCCTCTTTCAGAGCCAATTCCAAACCCCTTGGAGGTTAAAATGAACAGGATAGCAGTTACGCACTCAAATAATACCAGGAAACGTAAAGGCTCGCACACGACCATCTTCAGGGCTAATGCTTACAGATGCTTTGAACGACATTCGCCCCGAACATGGACGCAACTTCACTGAACTCAGTGATTCGCCAATAACCAACACTCCAATGCGTGCATGTCCATCCTTTTATCTCGTTTGTGACTGCTCACTGTTAGAATTCCCTCGTGTCAGGTGTAGCAATCCCTTAAAGGGGTAAGTGGTATTAGGTGACTTTCAGTGGAAACTATGGAAGTAATAATAATAATAATAATAATAATAATAATAATAATAATAATAATAATAATAATAATAAATTCAAAATAAGAAGTGAATCTTCAAATTTAAGTTTAAGAGAAGAATTCCTTTTGCATATTTGTTTCTATTTAAATTTCAGATAATTTCTTTTAGTCTTATTTTCTCTTTTTAAGGGCATGTTTTAATCCTTTTAGGGTGCAAAGCGTAAGTTTTTAGGTACTACATATGACAGTTCTACCCACTTTTGTGGTTCATTTAATACTTGACAATTCGTTTTTATCATAAATATAATTGTTATTGCCATTAATTGATTCGATAATACCTTCCTCTTATAATTCCATAAAATTCGGAATTCGTCTAAAACGGCGAGTTTAAATAGCGTTGTATCCCGACCAGGATTTGTGTGTGCTAAGCGCAGCGTGAAGGGCTTCGGAGCCTGCGAGTACAAGTGCGCGTGCGCTGGTGGTTGCAGGCGAGTGGGTGACGGGCAACAAGATGGACAGCAACAACCTGGCGACCATGTTCGCGCCCAACGTGCTGCACTGCGTCAAGCCCGGCTCGGGCTCCAAGGAGATCAGCGCGGAGCGCGCGGAGGACCGCATCGACGTCATCAACGTCGTCCGCGCCATGATCGACCACCACCGCGCCATCTTCACGGTCAGTCGCGCTCCGCCCACGCTCACGCGATGCACCGCCATGTGTAAACGATTCAACTATTCCGTCAGACTATTCCTAAAGAAGGTGCCATTTCAAAGACTCAACATCCAGATGTATGTACGTGCGGGTTTCGTTTTGGGGTATAAACGTTAATAAAAGGGAAAATATGTTTGCTGAAATGTCGGCATCACGCACAACCTGGCGGTAAGGCGGGTGGTATCGGGGCGGGGCAAAGCAGCCCAGAACGAGGCGGCAGCAAGGGGCAGGGTGTGTTTGATCAGACTAGGGCAGATCAGGTCACGCTAGGCCAGACTAGCGAGAAAATGCATTCCATATTTTGTCTATTCACTGCAGACAGAATACATTCTTATTCCTGTTTGAATAGAGTAAGGTAAATAAATATCCACAAAAAAAAGCTTTTAACTTTCAATAGTACTACAGAAATAGTCAAAACTCCAGAAAGCGATTTCTCGAGGAGACATTGAAATCAATACGTTCGCTCCTGGAAAAAGAGAAGTTATCCACCTTCAGAAAACGAAACGAGGACGATAGAAAAAACTGAAGAATCGCCAAAATATTTGTTGCATTTTTTATTTTTTAAACTCTAAGTATTACGTATTGTTAAAATTAATTAAAAGTGATTGCTGAAATTTGAAAAATGTGTTAAAATATATGTGCAAATCTATAGGGCATTTAATCGAGTTAATTCTTATTTTACTCACAAAATGGGGGAAGGGGAAAGTTCGCAATAAAATATTCATCCCTGGGAATGCATTTATAAGTTTTAAATGTTACATTAATTTTAAAAAGGTTACATTTTGCGAAAGTGATTATTAATACTCCAAAAAGAGAAAAAATATTAGAATATGATGGATATGTATAAACAAAGTTTTGATTTCATTCCAGACCGACGTATTTGAAGGCACTTAAGATACCTCGCTAAAACGCCATACCGGATCCCTTATTGTGTCGCCGTCTCTGAATAACGATTCATATCCCAAAAGATTGGTTGGTCTCAAACGTTTCGTAAAACCTGCGTATGAAGCCCACGCGACAAGGATTCATGGACACCAAACAAAGTATCAAAGAACTGTATCTGCGAGTCTGCGTACTATTGCTTTTTCAAACTAATTTTACATTAAATAAGATCACTTCAATAATTTATGCTGAGTGAAACAGTGATTCACGAGTGAAACGCGATAGACTCCGGAGGAAAGATAGCAGCTGAAACTGCGCACCAGAGAAATAAGTAGTTATATTCAATGTCTAGTGAAAGACGTTTCATTCTTTACCAGAATTTAAGTGAAGACGAGTATGTTGTATGTTCGTATGAAAAACATATTTCAGTGTTTTAATAAGATTAAGCAGGTGTAACCAAATTGACAAATTTCGATGGACCTAATTACATTAACAGGGAAATTACACTCTCAGCACAATTTAAAAAAACTATGAAATAGACGATATCGTTAACAAATATAGTACTACAAAAATACAGTAATAAATAAATTATAGACGAAAAAAATAATAGTTTATGCAGCGCTGATGAATAGAATGAATTAGCTTATAAGTCAAGGAGTAGCTTTTTAATTCCATGCACTGTGATTGGAACAGCGCTCGCAGCGCCGAGTCAGAATGGCCATTTCTCTTTTTGTCTCGCTCCTGGCGCGTGGAGTGACGTGGCGCGGTGGGTGTTGCAGTTGCCGCGAGACGCTGGACGAGGTGTACCTGCACATGATGGATCAGACCCCGAGGCCCTGGACCAGCTGCTGCGCCTGCGCGACGCCCAGGCAGACGAGTGAGTCCCCGCCCCCCGCCCCCGCCCCCGCCCCTGGCTCTTGCAGCAGGGCTTGGAACTGTTCGCCCACCCCCACTCCCAAGCACTTCCTCCGCCCAGGAACAAAGCATACGTGCGACGAAATGGATCATTACTGATTAAGATTCGAGAATTCCCTTAACGAGCCCTGAAGCTTATTTAGCTTGTAATTTATTTTGACGACCGACAAATTGGCAACCCTGTCGCTAACGCAGCGTTTTCTGGAAAATCAAGATTGCAACATACATAAATCTAATAAAACAAGATTGTAATCAGCCTAAAACGCAATGTCCTGGTATTGATTTACTACTTCTCTCTTCAATGATGATTTACGTGGGAAGGATCTGAATTATAAATAGTTACTCGACTTGTTTGCAACTCCCAACAATTCATTCTAAAGAAATCAAATCGCACCAAAATAGTTGCATATTTATCTACCAAGACGGCCTACGTGCAAAGATCTACTAGTCTTGTAGTCCTAGAGTGATCATTTTGTCAGATTTAAGTTACAAGTTTTTGATACGGTTAGAAGAAACTCACTGAGTGAGTAATATTGTTCGAAAGCATGCAACGGAAATTATTGTAACGTAGTACTTTTTTATGTGAACATTTTTACCACGCTAATTTAAAGAAAGTAACTTCATACCTCGAGCTAACTCAAAATTGTATAATCTTCTAGACTTTCGATGTTTGCAAACAGTTCCAAGCCCAGACTCAACACGCATGTCACCTAGTAGGTGTAGTTGTGTCTTCTATTGCAGCTCTGCGCAACACTCGAGCAGCGAGGATATGTACTGACACAAAAAAACACAAGCGCGGGCCGCTATGACACAATACACAGACGCGGGTCGCATTGATAAACAACAAACTCGCAGGCGGTATGTGGAGAATTTTGCGAAATGTAAGTTCTTTACAATAAAAACTCTCATAAATGTTTACCTAACAATATAAAAAGCAAATAAATTAACATGATGTGCTACAATTAAAATAAATATATGTTCTTAAAATGTGTTCCTTAAGAAAAGTAATAATAAAACGTTTCCTAAATAAGTGCAACTGCAACCTTCGTCAAAATAAACATTTCGCCGCAAAAGTATACTTCGTAAAAGCGAAAGATATTTTGAGAAGCTTCCTTCTATGATATTTAAGACATTTCCTTCACATACAATTCATATCAACTTGTGTTTTAACAGTCGCTTGTGCACCAACGTTAGTACGAAACGTAATTACAACTACTAATTCACACAACTGTTGGAATTGCGGGAAATGAAAGAACTAATTCGTTACGAGAAGTTACAGATTGTATGTATACATCTACATTTTATACATCTGCCATTTCATTTTTTCTTAACTCAATGTTACACGTGTTAATAGAACATAAATTGTGCCGTTCAGTAGTCAAAGATACCGAGAAAACAATTTCACAACAATGTAGATTGACAAAATTCACTATAATTTTAATATTCAACAGCTTTTATATTCGTATCAAACGTGATTTACCATTTTGCAGGCTGATCTCGAAAATAAAACGCGATAAACTCCTTCCATATTGAAATTGAGACGTTCAAAGAGTATTTCTATTTTATCGTAACCCCTTTCAGTTGAGCGCGACTCATCCATCTCGTGCACCCCTCCACAAGTCACATCCGCCTGATCTCTTTCTGGAATAACTCTTGGTGTCTAATTGTCAGATTTGTGTGTGAGGCTAATGATAGTTGTTGCGAGTGACTACACTGCATGCTCTTCATGCGCTCTATTCTTTTACATCACAAATTCATAAAGTTCAACTACATGTTTTATGAAACCTAAAATGTATCAAGTTATCCAGAATTGACTAGTACTTAATACCAATGCATTACCGAATATGCAACTATTTCACTGCTTCTATGACCCCCACACACATTCCTCTGTGTACAATTGTGTTGTTGCTCATCTGCACCCGTGTTTGATTTCTTGTGGCACGCACTATTCCTACACTTGAGGCACGTGTTGGCATGAGTGTATTCCACTACTGCTAATGGAGATTGGGTTGTTTGTGAAAATAATACTTTCGTAGCACGATATACTGCATACGCTGTTCGTGTTTCTAAATTCAGTCTTACAACTGATTATCATTAAACAACTTCGTGGGTAGCTCATCTTACATGCGCAACAATGAGTATCTCAGTGGCTCAGTAATAATTTCAATATACTTTTTATGGAACCGAATGATGCAATGTTTATTAATAAGCACCCCTCCATATTACTGGATTCTTTACAGCAATCCAGAAATATCGAAACTAAAGAGAAACACTGTATCAGGTTTGCTAACCTCAACCAGAATAAAACAAAATTGTTGAAGAAAATTCTAAACGTTTGCATCCTCAAAGAACGAAAACATATATTAAGAACATGTACTTGATGTTATCGTATCCCTACGTCTTCTAGACGTAGCGGTTCATATCCCTGAGGGGTGTTTCCGCCGATACACCCACACTAATGTATTTGCGATTTCCGGTGATAAGGAGTGAGCTGAGAAACTGATTGAACCCGGGAAGGGAACATCGATGCCTCGGAGGGGAGGCGGGCCCCAAAGCATTGCGCCTAGCGCGCTGGATTGGTCCTCTCTAGGTGGTCCATGCCGACGCACACTCATGAGTTTTAGCCCCTTAGCTGGGCATGAATGGACGGTGGTATTACTAAATGGAATGTTGTTTTATATAGCGTTTAAATTTCGCTTCGGATTAACTCTAGATAGTTCAGAGAAAAATATTGTTAACTTTCGGAAAAATAAAATTCATCAGAGATTTGGGAAATATTAAATTGAATTGAATTGAATTGTTGAAATACCTCGAACAGAATATGATATAAATAATAATGGCGACACAACCCCACACTTTTTCCATGATATAAAATAAGTGTCACATGAATGAATAATCACCTTATTAAAATATTATCTTTGACTTGGTCTGGAGATCATTCCGTTAGTACTAATGCATTTCGTGTTTATGCATAAAAATATCGCATCTAAATGTGATTTTGTGTGACTGGTATTTGGCAGATGTGATCCCCTCATTTCCTGGAGACGCTCAGGAGGAGAGACATAAGAGTGGCGCAAACTGCCAGAAGAGTACGCAATAAAGTATCCGAGAGAAAAAACAAATAAAGCAAATTTCTTCCCTAATTTTAAAATACATTAGAAAATGTGATTAGGGAAGAAATAGTTAACGTGTGAAGGCACCTAGCCTATTGTCTCGTGTATAAATTATTCTTGCTTATTACAAGAATTTTAGATCCACTCTGTAGAGATTCACTGTCAATTCAGTAAATAAGTTCTTGCATGTCTATTACAAACTTTATTATTAATTTTTACTAGTAATAGCTGTATGTACTACTAACGTCAATTTGTAAGAGGTTCCATCATGCTAGTTTTGACGTACACTAAACGACCCCTGTGCAAATAACATACAGAAAGATGAAAACAACCATGTACGTATTATTCACGTAGATTTTATGCCATATAATGATTAATATTAGCCACTATTATTTCTGTCCAGCTACGAAACCAAAATTGATCTCTGTGCGACGCATTGCGTCATGGATGCCTATAGTTAACGTCGCGTTAAAACTGGCAAGTGTGCCATTTCAGTTCGAGTGCGAAATTTTGAAACGAATACTATAATGAACGTACGAGGAACTTTTTTTCATTGTATGTTGCTTTTCATCTGACAATATAATTAATTTTACATAATACTGGTGATTAAGGGTATTGATGGTAGGAGACAATGGTAACAGCAAAGTATAGTGCCGTAGTTAGGAAATGCGCCCCAACGCCGCCGAGCAGGGGCGTTGAGGTGCAGGGTGCAAGCGAGCGCGGCGGCGCGCGGGCGCAGGTTCGCGGACGAGCTGGAGAGCGGCAGCGAGGTGACGAGCCCCGTGGAAGCCCTGGCGCAGCCCGCGCAGCCCCCGCGCCGCGTGTGGTCGCGCGAGGAGTTCCTGCACGAGAGCGCCGCCACCGGCGGCCCCGACCTCGCCATGCGCCCTAACAGGTAACTCCCCCCCACTCACACCGCCCCGCCCCGCACCACGGCGGCGGCGACACTTAGTTACCGCTAGGTCGGATTCAGCACAATTCTAGCGGCCGGCTGCTCCCATCGGGAGTTTCCTCCGATCAACACCAGCCAGGCGAATGTCGGAGCAGTACGCTAACAAACGACCTTTCTTTCCTCTTCCTTGCCCCCCCCTCCTCCACTTCTCATCTTCTACCTTCTCCCCCCCTTCTCATTTTACACCTCGTCCTCCTCCTCCTGCCCTTATCATTTTCCGCCTCCCCTTCTCATCTTCCACCTTCTCCTCCTCCCCTTACCACCTTAAATATTCTCCTGTCCTTATCATCTTCCTTCTCCTCCTCCCCTTCTCACATTCCTTTTCCTTTTTTAATATTTGGTACGGATTGTGATGTCCTCGGACCTTTTGGAGAAGTGGTTCATGGTCTCGTTTGAAAGCTTGGGTAGTGAGCTAATCTTTTGCACTTTCAGCTGAGAGGCTACATAAAAAACATTTTTAACATGCCGTGTGCAAAAGACGGATTTTCATACTTGTTTTCCGTGTTCCAAACAGACATTTTTCTCATTCCAATAGTTTGCGAAACAATTAGCGTATGGAAACTATTTTCCATAGGGCGTACAAGTTACGTAAAAGGGCGCGAAAACGGCGATTCGCGCACGACAGAGAATGCGAGGAGGCTCAAACGCACCGAGTGCGAAAAAAGACGAGCTTGCGAATCACCTCGCGCACGGGTGCGGGTGCTATTTGCCATACACCATGTGAGGAAGAATGTTTCGCGCCACTCCGTTGTTTCGCACACTTTAGTCAGAAAGAAAAAAAATCAGCCGTATCCTACACGGAAAAGAACACAAGAAACCGTTTTTCGGCATGGCTGCGGCATGGCTTGTTTAAAAAATAATAAAAGCAAAATGAGCGCGAGTGATTCGCCAATTGCCGTTTGTCGAATACCTGTTTTCACACCTTGTTCGTGACGTTCATTTTTTAAATTGTTGTGTGTACTAGTGTTTTGTTTCTGCGCAGCTTGCTAACGTTCTGTTTGGCGTGGCAGCATCGCGAGCAGCGCGCGGCCGACGCGGAAGCGGTGGAGCGAAAGACGGGGGCGGGGCGAGCGGGAGGGCGCGGCGCGGCGCGGCGGCGGCGGCGGGCGGCGGCCGCGCCACGGAGCCCGAGACGCGCGTGGCCGACTCGCCGCCGCCGCCCAACCCGGGCGTCATCACGGCCAGTCTCAAGATCCCGGTGCCCGGCGCGCTCAACCTCGACGACCCCGACATCCCCTTCATCGAGGACGGCGCCGTCGACGTGGCGCGCCAGCAGATGACCTTCGGGCCAGGAGGTGAGCCCGCCCTGCGCGCATGGCTCCCCAGGCCCAATTCCAGAGCCTAGCTCTCCATATCCAATGTCTGGCTCCCTATATGCAGTTCCTAAGCCTAACTTTCCATGACCAATTCAAATACCATGCTCTCTACATCTCATTCCCAATTGCTAGCTCTCCACGTCCTATGCCAGTGCCCAACTCCTCATATCGAATGCCTATGCCTTGCTCCTCATATCCAATGTCAATGTATACTTCTCCATATCTAATTTCATATCCTATGCCAGTGCAATATCAAGCTCTCCATACCCAGTGCCAATGCTGCATCGCCATAACAAATTCCAAAGCCTTGATCTCCGTATCCATTTCGTAACTTACGTGGTTTACAGTGTTTACCCTTCAGATATCTCCCCCAGCGGGGCCCCAAATACGACAACTTCGAAACTCTCAACATGTGTATGTGCATTTAAGTGTATATCAGAGTCGAGGCATGTAAGTGTGTATCACTGAACATCACCAAGTATAATAGTAAAAATAATGCGCTTTAATTTTTTAGAGAATTCATTGGATAATTAATAAATAAGTGATTATATTAATAATAAATAAGGTTAAATATATAATCATATTTAAACAATTTTACTTACAAAATAGCTAAAAAATAGTCTTTAAACTACGAGAAGGAACAAATAAACTTCTCGTTCACTAATATAAGAATCGATTTGTGAGTTAGCTCTCAGTGGTTCAACCGCCGCAGCCATTCCTGCGAATTTGCACGGCGACCAGCGCTTCAACTCATCTCTGCAGCCGGAGAATCTCGGTCGGTCGGCGGTTTCCGGGCGTCGGGTGAAACGCACCCTTGAATCGGTGCGGTGGTTTTGAGTGCTCCCTGATTCTTGAGCGCTTTACTGAGTTTTAGTTGTGATATCAGGGGGAAGGAAAAAACTTTTTGTCGTGGTTCTGTTGAAACACAACACATTTGGTTCACGTGAATGCGAAGAGAAGCTTTTGACAGAATACAAATGTCGCGTACCCTTCCCTTCGTTATTAAATTTAACAACTAACGTCACCAAAAACACATAGTTTATATGGGGCGCTTTATGGTGCCTAGTTACAATTGGTTCTATGGAAGTAAGCGTCTTAGCTCTTTTGAAAATAAGAGACAAGGCCAACAAAATACACCAGTAAAAATGTATGGGTTTCCATTGGATTTTGTAAGTTAATTACAAAATCAGCTAAAGCTAACGAAAAAACAGAATATTTCAAATCATATTGATTGCAATCCAATTAATTTGCTTTACTTCAAACTTTAACATCATCTTACATCCGTCGTCACGGGAACAACGAACCGAAGATTTCTATACCAAATTTCAATGAAGACTTAAGGTGTTAAGAAGATTTATTGAAACGAACGTGAAGAAATAATACCAATAAATGAGCGTAGATTGAGAGTTTAAAAGACAGAACATCGCACGAAAACTATTTCGGATAGCCCACCTCGTAGTATCTTCAGAAAGATTCTTGTGACGTATAACGCTTCGCCGCTGGTGTGGAGGTCTGAAGAAAGGAGACAAAGATGGGGGAAATATCGCATGCGAGCAGTCGCTCGTTTGCTAATGTATTCATCTGGCGTTCGCCTACTACTGATGGGAGAAACCACCGATCAGAGCAGACGGCCGCTAGATTTCTCCTCCGGAGGTTGAACTCGCTCTAGAAGGGTCAAAAATCCTCCCTGTATCTCAAAAACTTTATCGCTTTTACTGTACGATTCTTCTTATCGCCTCTACCTACTGGCCAGTCATAAACTGAGACTCGTCTATCTTAGGAGACGACGTTATGTCGATGTCCAATAAACAGCGTATGTACTATAATATAACCTCTGATTTTAACATACACTTTCACTTATTTTCAATATTTGGCGCATTTTGGAATTCTATTGGACATAATTTGATAATTTGTGAAAGTCAAATACCACTCGTGCTTTGGAAATTCTCAGATAAATCCCCTCCTCGCTTCGCGAGTCGCGAATTTATCGACAGTTTCTAAAGCACTGGTGATATTACCTACGATAATTGACAATTGGTGGAAATACCAAAAAGTGGTAGTTTTTCCTCGCTTTCTTGAGTCCTCATTTTGCTGGATGCGAGAAGAGGTTTTGTTGATTCTTTTGTCGTCGGAACAAAATTATAAGAAATCTGTTGTTGATTTTTCAATACACCATAGTTTATATTACTCGACAGTGAGTATTTCTGTAATCATATTTGTCATCATAGCTTATTGCTAGCATTTATTCTGGATTCAACTACTGTTAATAAAGGAGCGAGGTTAGGTATTCGGGGGCTCAAGAAAACATGCACAAATTATACCTTCCTACGATAAAGAAACATTAATTCCCCTCTGTAACTTGCCTGTTCTGACTGCGGTGTTAACGGCCATCTTAGTAAATCTTTGCTGCCATGGAGTGCGAAGATCTTTACTGGGTTCTTCTGACGTGTAGGTACACAAGCGGTTATAACCTCTATGCAGACGAGTTGTTGAATGAGAGCACAAGAAACGTTTCTGGCGAAACACGTGAAATTTTATTAAGAAGCAAGTGATGACTTTACCTACAGTTTACCAGTTCCTTCTCAATTTTATATCGTGAAAACTTAGCCAACTATTCAACATTAGGCTGCCAAAATCTCACTACAAACTTCACATAATACGATTGCCGGCGATCACTTTCATTTTAAGCAAACTTCTCACTACATGTGCGTATCGAAAATAAACAATCCAATGCATGCACGAACTAAGAGCACAACAAATATTAAAAAGACCACAATGGCAGAAGCGAAATACGCCGCAAATTGGCCTCTTAAACGGGACGGATTCTACTAATAACACACACTATCTTCATACCGATCTTCACTGAACTAACTGCCACTTCGAGAAGCACGGGAGGGATTTGCACAGATGGAGAGGGATTGGCTGAATTACCCTATGTATTAATAGCTATAACTAGATATTTTAGTAAGTAATTTTTAACTAGATCTATAGCATGTATCGCACCCAAACATTCAATAAAATACTAACGCTATTTGTGGATGAAGCTATACTGTTGAACAAGATTCATAGACATACAATTAGTTCTTACATCAATAATAACCAAATGAATTATTCTCCAGTGCGACGTCTCTTAGAAGTGATCAAGAACAAAATCAAATTTTTGTCAATGTCCTTGAAACCTAACCTCTTTCTGATGATATTCGAAAGAGGTAGCTTGAAAACTTGGCTCGATGCAGTGTTCATGAAATTCAAGCGAAGCACTAATGCTACTCGCTTATGCGAATGATTCATTATTTTGTATTAGTGAGTTTTGTCAATTGCAATAGCCGTTCATTCCGTTAGTGTATTGGATGTTACACTCCGAAAGGTGGCAGTTTCTTTACCCGTTAGAATATAATAACCGGCAGCAAGTATGGCGGTTAGTATGGTTAATAAGGGAAAAGTACTAATCACATCTGCGTCTCAACAGGGTGATTCACAGCATCACCATACTTTTAAATGGAAAAAAATTATTTAACGAAGTAAATGAAGTTTTGTTTTACAGACGATATTTTCACAGGAGGTAAATTACTCGAATTAACTTGCCAGCTGTCGGGTTCATTGCCGTCTCCCCACCTGTCAACCCTCTTTTCCCTGCTCGCCCTTCAACAATGAGCCACCAGCAGAGGGGAGGAAGTGGCCCGGGTGATGCCCTGGGCATTCTCAGGGTCACCGACTAGCGATATAGTATATTGTGTACAGTGTA